CTGGATTATGTCTACTTCGCACGCTTCGGCTTAAGCACGCTTAAGCTTTCTCCCGATGACCGTGCTTAAAGCCGGCATGGACTGTACTGACATAAAATAGTGATGTCATCAGTACTTTTTTCCAAATGCTAATGGACTACAGAAACGGTTAAAGCTACCGGGAATGGCCTAGTGAGATTTGCAGAAGGGAATTGGAGAAGGTCGTACACTACTCAGGTCTCAACTCTCAGACGGAGCCAGCAGTAGTAATAGTTTGAAGGGTGAGCAGATATTGATGCCGGTGGCGACATCTGTATAGATCTAATCGTGTATACACTGCCTCGGTGAATGTCTTCTGAGGGTGAACTAATGCATCTTGCATGTTGTTTATTAACTTTGATTCTTTCCAGGGCCCCAGCACTGAAAGTTTCCAGTTTAATTGCATTACGTATTTCCACTAAGGAAAATGAAGAATGGAAAAGCTTTAGACGACTTTGGAATTACCACACTGACAAAACTTCTCATCAACATGTATGACACTGGACATATTCCATCAGACTTGTAAAAATCTTATCTTCATAGCTTTACCAAAGAAACCTAATGCAAATGAATGGGAAACTCATCATACCATCAGCCTCATGAGCCACGTAACAAAAATACTAGATCTACTTAGAATAATTTAAATGAGAATACGAGATAAAATTCTCCCAGAAACAGCCCAAGAACAGTGTGAATTTATTGAAGGCAAAGGCGCTGTAAATGTCATATATTATTGTGTTATTAGAACAACAATAGAACTTAGCCTGGAAGTTCAGAAAGATCTGCATGTATGCTTTATAGACTATACCAAGGCTTGACAAAATCATGTCCTCAATATTGACGGGAAGGACTTATGGATTATCAAGAACCTGTACTGGGATCAATCCGCTGCAATGAGAATTTTTATTAAAAAAACATATCAGCGAATACATGCAGATGAAAAGAGGAGTCAGACAGGGATATGTACTTTCACCAGACTTATTCTCCCTGTATAGTGAAAATATCATGAGACAATTTTTTTTTAAAACCTAGTACAGGTTTCTCGATATAGGGACATAACGTAAACAATATAAGATATGTATGTAGACGACACAGTCCTAATAGCAGAAGATGAAGAACACTTACAAATATTAAATGGCATCGTACAAGAGAGTGACAACTTGGGCCTCAGCCTATAAATCATTAAAAGGGAAACAATGGTGATAAGCAAAAAAAACTCCAACCCCAACCTGCAATATCAAAATTGATGGTACATGTACCACATTCAAACAAGTACAACATTTTAAATATTTGGGGACCATTATATCATCAGATGGGAAATGTCACACCGAAATTAAAAACCGCATTTGCCAAGCGAAAGCAACCTTCCACAAAATGAAACAGATACTAAAAAACATCAGTCTGTCACTGTCACTGGAAACAAGAAAAAGAGTACATGTACTGAAACATTACATCAAGCCAATCCTATTATACGGGTGCCAAGAATGGCAAATCAATAAACAGCTGGAAAGAACAATTGAGGCGACAGAGTTATGGTTCATAAGACGCATGCTGCGTATCCCATGGACAGCTAGAAAAACAAATTAATGAAGAAGTCTTGGTTGAAGCAAATTGCAGACAACAGCTTATGACGAATATACGAAAGCGACAGGGCAAATTTCATTTGACACAATACGTAAAGAAGCATTGGAGAATACATGTGTTGTAACAACTGGCAATTTGATGGAAAGAGAGGCAGCGGCAGACAGAGGGAACAGATACTGGACAAGCTGACAACATGGGTCGGAACAGCCAAAACGATAGACACCATCGCTGCAGTGCACGACAGGATGTAGTGGAGGTCTATGTATTATCGTCTACGCCAGTCGGCAATGCACCGGATGATGATGATTTTCAGTTCTCCTGTCTCTGTTTTATGAAATTCAAGAGTCAAGCAACAGTGGCTAAAGTAGTCATTGGAAAATGTCAGCATTCTTTTTCCAAAGATCAAGCAAACAGCTAGCTGGGCCTTGCGTCATTTTAAAGATCAGTATGTTATAAGATAAGATATAGTGATACATGTATATCTTAGTTTCCATATTTTTCAGTGGATTCATCGTCGTCAGCAAAAGCAGCCAAAAGCAATAGTTCCAGTATTAATGTTATATGATTATGGCTATTGATAAAAGAAAAAGAAGAATGATGGCGATATAATTATATTAGATTTTTTTTTATTGGGAGGGGGGAGGTTACAAAAGTATTTTATCTTTTTTTGTTTTTTGTTTTTGTAAAGTGTTTTACGGCGCTCGCAACTGCATAAAGTCATATGAGCGCGTGGGACACACCTAATATTTTCAGTTGGTAGGAAATTTTAAATTTTGCCCGGGTGGCGGCCGAAGCCTACTCTTATCGATCTTTAACGTGCGCAACTTGCACACGGGCCCTCCGAGATTTTTCGCCCTTCTCCGAGAAGGCTAGGTGTAGATCTTTTCTACCAGAAGATCTGGGCTGAAAGACAGCAGTAAAAAGGAGCCAATGAGTAGCAGTAGAAAGGCTGCAGAAAGAGTCAGGAGCCCAGAGGAGGGGGCAAAGGAGGTGGGGGCGTGGGGGCAGAAAGAGTAGACGAAAGCAGACGACAGAACATTACTGGAGAGCAGGAAAGGAGGTGAAAGGAGACCATTTTAGAGAAGAAAATGTTTCGGTCGCTACCCGGATTCGAACCCGGGACCTTTTGAATGAGAGGTTAACCTCTAGGCCACGAGAGCCCCATCTTTATCTTTTGTAAAATGATGATAATGATGATGATGATGGTGATGATGATGATGATGTGATTGCATTTATACTGCTAAAGCAAAGGATGATGATGCTGATGGGGTGATTCACCACACAATGAAGCTGAAACTGAAATTAAAGAAAACAAGAAAACAAGAAAAAGTGAACAAAAGAATGGGTCAGAACCAGAAAATGACCCAATAATTTCGGAGAACTGAATATTGTTACATGAGAGGGTCTTTTACTGCAAGTGCAATACGTACGAAATTCAAAGCAAAATGGAAGAGGAAGTGGGGAGGGATAAGGGAACGGGGACAGATATAAAAAGAAAGAGGCGGCGGAGAAAAGGAAGGAAAGGAGGAGGAAGAGGAAGAGAAGAAGGTGCAGCAGCAGTAGAAAAAGAAGACGAAGGCGAAGACAAATAAGGCGAACAAGAAGAAGAAGACGACAACAACGACGACACGGATATTAACTAAGCAATGGCAACAAGTTATAAAATCTAATGAGACGGGACGAAGAAGGATGAGAACGAGATCGACGGCAAACTGAATGAACTGCAGACAGTAGGCCCCTACTGTGGTTTTCTCAAAAGGCAGATAACGACACCTAATCAACATTAAAACAATAATCTACAAAATCAGTAAAAACAACAATCATAACGTTATCAGCGGAAGTTAGAACAACAAAACGGAAAAATATTATTACAGTAGCAACAGCAATTACAAAAACAAATCTTGAAGGCAGAAGCGAAACGTACGAAATCTGTTACCACAGCAATGTTTAAAAAGAGGAAACAGAAAGAACAAACACATTTGGGGAGGAGGTGGGGGTGAAGAGGAGAAAACTTTCACTGCTAGATCTAGATGTAGTTAGGTTTACGAAAATTTGATTACAGGTAATGCATATTATATTATATATAACGAGCTGATGAACAAGCAAAAACGAATAAGCCAGCATGAGTTCTCAACCTATGACCCCATTACCTAATTAGACTTCCGTTAACTTCCAAACTGTTTCATATGTTTTGACAAACATTATGGCGCTGAAACCTACTCCACATGTTGTATGTCGTGGTCTGCTCAGGGCGACTCACTACCTGTTTGCTTTTCTATCCCCCGTAAACACGCACATTTCATGGCTGGCACCCGATGGTGTATACATAGTTATAATGTGTTTTCGTACGTCGGAGAACGCAAAAGATCGATCTGCAAAGCGCAAGATTTTCCAAGTCGTGTTGTGTGAATTTCTCATCCCGGTATCCTATAGAACGTGTGATGAAAACACCGTTTCACTGTCGTCACTTGGGTCGGTGTTTAGGTTTCTGCGCCTGTTTATGTAGTGAGCATCAGGTGTATTTTGTCACGCACGGATGGCTGGGCTTACTTATGCTTTCATGATTTTTCCCTGACTTCTTCCAACGAAGCTCATAGGCACTGGTCCTTCTGTTGGTTCATACTCAGTGCTCTTTACGCTCTCAGTACCAGCAGAGTCTTCCTGGTCGATTTGCCCACTACATACCTATACATATTTTGTAGGGCCTAAAGATTAGCTTTATAACTCTTTGTGTAGACAGGATCTCTCTCTCTCTCTCTCTCTCTCTCTCTCTCTCTCTCTCTGGCTCTCTCACTCTCTCGATGTATCTATCTACAATGTATCTATCTACAATGTATCTATCTATCTATCTATCTATCTATCTATCTATCTATCTATCTATCTATCTATCTATCTTAGATTACATCATTATGCTCAAGTTTAGTAGAACCTATAACTATAACTCCAACCGGAACAAACGGGGGAACTCCCCCTGACAATGACTGTCAACACGTAACATTTTCATTCGCAACAAATGTGGGTGGTTGCGGGTGCTCTGGTGTGGCTTGCTTCTTCTTTCCTATCGAACATCTATCGTCCTTATCTCCCCTTCTTGGTTTTTATGTTTGTTACTCTCTTGTAACACTTCTAATCTTCTGGCGCTCATATGACCTTATGCAGTTGCGATCGCCGTAAAACCTCTGCTAAAATTAAAACTAAATTTGCCACGACCACGCTCCTGGTGACTACCTTCGATAGAAATACAACACTTAAAAACCGTTACGCTATTGGAGGTAAACAAAGTTCAACGATTTCACCAGCGGTATTTGCGAAAGAAATACACTTTGGTCAGATAAAGTATGTTTTATGGCATGGGTACTGGATGAAATTGCTTTGATTATTTTTTTTTCTTTTTTTTTCGTTATTTCTTTTCTAAATAAAAAAAAATAGTTTGAAATATTTTGCAGTGTTTGTGTGGGTGTTACGCAAGCTTTTACAGTGACCTCTGGTAACGTCTACCTCTCGGACAATGCTTCCTTCACTCGGAGAGGTTTTTCCTTTGGATAAAGTTATTATACTGTATAGATGTGAAAGGGTAACACGTTTTCCAAAAAAACAACAACCCAACAACCAGCAACCAAAAAAGCAACAGCACCAAAAAAAAAAAAAAGCAAAAATAAATAAATAAATAAAATAAACTTGAGGTAGTGTGATGTGTACGTGAGTGTACCCTCGTGCTTGTTGGTTTAAGGCCATGCATTTAGTACCGGTACTCACAAAATCACTTGATGAAAGGTGAAGTGTCCTCTAGGGGTGAACGTGTTCAATGGAAAGGTACAGTAATACGTAACGAGTTGAATAGAACTATGTCCATGGTCACTGTTTTTACTGTTATTATTTAAAGAATTATTATTATTATTATTATTATTATTAGTATTATTA